TTCTCTTGCAGGACGGCTTGTCCAGACTGAGCTCACACATAGACAGCCGTTTTGGAGATGATAGAGCCGTCGTGCTGCGATTCCATGTCGTCGTACTCGTAGCCATGCGGGTTGGGGCTGAATCGCAGAATGGGGCCCAGCTGGTCGAATCGTTCCTCCTCATCCTCCCGGTGCCGCGGGGCGTAGCCGTAGGGAGGGTGCCGCCGTTCCTCGCGCGTAACCTCCTCTCTGTAATCGTCTTCCTCGTCCTCCTCTGGTTTTCGCCCCATGGCGGGTTTCAGTGGCTGGTCGAGTTCGGTGAAGTCGTGGGTCGGGGGCTGAGCAGTGCCGTTGCCCAAGGCCCGAGCCTTGGGGTCAAAGGAGCCTTTGGGAGCTCGGAGGTGCCGGCGGTGCAGGATGAAGAAGACTATGATCCCCAGAAGTGCCAGGGCCAGGATCCCCCCCACGATACCCCCGACCAGGGCTCCAACGTTGCGGCTCTGACTCTTCACCGGCTGGTCTGAGTAAAGAAAGGAAGACGGGGAAGTCACTCCGAGAAATGCCAGTTGTTAGTAATACCAGCACTGGGGAAGGGGCAGAGCCTCAACTGGATCCAGGGAAGAGAAGACTGGGGGCTCCTCTGGGACCCTGCCATCCATCCATCCATCATCATCACTGTCACCATCTCGCGCAGGGGGCCAAGAGGCCCCGAATGTCCAAAGAGAAACTAGGGTATCAGAGAGTTGAGAAAAGCCCGTTCGTCCCACATGTGAGGCAACCCAGCTATCCTTCTCCCCACAAGCTGCTCTGGACCCATAATGTACACCCACCATCCTGGCCTATCTGAGCCCAGGGCATTTTAACCACCATGCCTTGGGCTAATTAAACCTCACAATGGCTTCCCACCATCCTTTTGCGCAAAGCACCACACGCTGAATTGGTGACAGAAGAGGAAGAATTCAACTATTTGTTCCCCCAGATTGAGTTGTGTTTTTTTTTTAAGACATCAATTATTCCACCCTGCAGCTGACAAGACTCCGGATGAGCCCCAAGCTGGATCGGCTTAACATGCCTGCCCTGCCCTCCCATCCCTGAGCAGCGAAGCGGCACCGAAAAATCTTAATTCGTCTTCGTCCCACACACACCGTTAGCCCCCCCCACACACACACATTTTGAAAAAGGTTGCCAAAAGCCCAGAGCTCTTACCCCGGACGAGGATGATTTGCTGCGTCGAAACCTGCCCCACACGATTGGTGGCTTGGCAGATGAAGGTGGTATTCACAGTGTGATCCACTCTTTTCACGTGGAGGCGCTGACCTTGAACCTCTACGGACTTCGGAAGTCGCCCACTGGACCTGGGAAATCAAGGAAGGGCAGGTAAGCCATAAAGAAAGTCCAGGAATCAGTTAGATAAGTAGGTGGGTAGGTTCGTAGGTAGACAGATGACAGTTAGATAGATAGATAGATAGATAGATAGATAGATAGATAGATAGATAGATAGATAGATGGATGGATAAGGAAGGAAGGGAGGGAGGGAGAGAAGAACAAAGGAAGGAGTAGGTGGTAGATGATAGATGGCAGATGATGGATGAAGGGATGAAGGGAGGATGGAAGGAAGAAGAAGGAAGGAAGCAATAGATGATGGGTGGGTGGATGATAGGAGGGAGGTCCATCAGTGCTCCAGAGGCTGGAGCAACCTGGCACTCCCACCTGAGAACAGGGCATTAAGATCACACCACTCTCCCCTGCATCAAACTTCCAAGCAAATTTCAAAACCCCAATAAAATATTTCAAACTATGCGGAAAAAAAATGGGTTTATATCCCGAGGCCCAAAACAGGTTCAACTCTAATCCACTGGCTTTTTGCTCTCTCTAGCAGGAGTCAGTATCCTTCATAGGGTATTGATCATCCCTGGTCTTGATCGTCTCCGTTGCACAACCCATGCCGTTTCCCCGAGCACAGCAACTCACCCAGCCCGATCCCGCTATTCTGCAGCAGGTAGCTGAGATGGTCAAACATGGAGCGTTGGTTCTGGCGACTGATGCGGCAGAAGTAGCACAAGAAGCGGCAACAGTTGGTCACCATTTTAGGGAAGCGGATTTCCTATTAGGGGACGAGAGGGAGTTTCCTGGATGGTTTGGAGGTGCGCCTGTACCCTCAAGCCATTTTCCACAAGATACATACTAAAGTTCTCACTCTCACGAACTTTATACCTGGGTGAAATGGTGCAGCGTAGGGCAAGATTTTTTTTTGAACCAAGATATCTCAAATGCGCTATCTTGTGGAAAGTATCCAAAATCCAAAACGCACGACCTCCCGTAGTGGATGAAATTTGGGGACATTGTGGCTATTTGAGTGCTACTGGCTGCTTCTGCGTGGCTGGGCTACTTTTGTGACAGTTTCCCAGCCAGTCTAGCAATTCCCCCGCTCCCACTTATCCGCCTGTTGGGAAGGGAAGGGGAGATTTCCAATAGTCCTTGCCAGATTCCCACAAGCAAACACAATGGAGAGGTCAGAAGTTGCTCCGGCTCCCACCACCTGCCCCTTGGTCTTTCTGTTTCTCTGCTTAGGAAAGGAAATGCCGCTGAAACAATGACCCAAAGGAACACCCGTTGTCTAGTTCTAACTTAAAATTGTACCAAATATAAAGGTTTTTAAGGAAAGAGTCGACAACCCAGCAAGGAGAGAACACTCTGTCTGAAATGTCCTCAGGAGATGTTTTTCCCTTATTTTATTTTTTTAAAAATGGGGAAATGTTGAAAAATGTGGCCCAGATATTACTATTAGAATAGAGAGTTGGAAGGGACCTTGGAGGTCTTCTAGTCCACCCCCAGCTCAAGCAGAAGACCCTATGCCATTTCAGGCAAGTCGTGTCTAGTCTTCTCTTAAAAACCTCCAGGGATGAATCATGCAGACTGCACCTCAGTTTCCAAGAACAGTGACCCTACGGGGCACTAGAGCATTGACTGGCCAAAAGACAAGGCCCCTTACCTTTGAGTCCCCTCCTCCCAGAACGTTCACCATCACCTCCATGACAGTCTCATGCATGCCCAGGGCCCTCATCAAGTTGGGGTGCTGGTAGAAGACCTTGTTGTTCATTATATTGCTAGCCAAGAAAAACAGGGAGAAGCAACAGTTGGACTTCGGAGCAGAGGGAGGAGGTGAGGATGGGAAAGGAAGAACTTGAAATCCTCAACCCAACAGGTGTATCTTCTTTTAATGACCCCATAATCCCTTGCAGTGGGGTGGAGTCTGGGCAACTGAATGGAGCTGAGTGTTTACTGGCCGGATGCTCTTCCTGTTACCAAGGCGGAGTTTTTTTTGTCCACGGAGAGAGAAATATTTGCCTCTACCTAGGATCGAACTCACAGCCTCCTGATTGTGGAGGCGAGAGCTCCAC